GGTGTATGATTTTGAAGATGCGTCTCATAGGGTTGATGTTTGGTGTCCCAGTCTGATAGTGTTATTGATGGTATCGTACATGTAAACAAGCGAAGTATGCGTAGATGTATGCGACATCTTAGTACAGTTCATCTCTTTTCCCCTTAAGAGATATTTACGTTGTCTGACTTATTTTTGGATGGACTATCAGTATAATGAGAATTTAGGAAAACTGTTGTATGGTGATGATGGTAATGGGCCGAATACCACTTTCAGCCAATATTCACAGGTTCAGACGCAAATAGGTAGGATTAGATGATGAGATGATGATTAAATGAGTGGGATGCTCAGACGGTCGTTTTAGATCAACTGTAAGGTACAAGCAATTTGATCCCTTGAAGGCTACCTATGCATTATTCATCTTACCGAGTAAAATAAGGCGGAATGCAAATTGTTACATTTGTTTAATAATTTTTGAGTTTTTTAGCTTGATAACCTAAGACAAGAATAAGAAAATATTCAAATTCAGGGAAACATTTTATGAAATCTGATCGCTCAAATGTGAAACAATACCATCTTATCCTCCATACAGATTCTGTGTGCGAATGATGCAATCTAGATATCATCAAAGATCTTAGGTCGATTATGACGGTGAATGCTGCTTTTACTTTATGCACTATACACGCATGTTGTTTTTGGAAGAGATTGCTGTTTAAGTTCTGATGCTATAGATGAACATCCAAAAGCTGTTCACTTCATCTGTTCCACAATACAATCATTTTCAAAACAATGCATGCGAAGAGGTGAAGGTTTGTGAAACTTCTAAGAAAATTTGTTAAATATTAGTTCAAAATGTTGGGGCTTCCGCATGATGCCAAACTTGTTGATTTCTGCTGCTGGTGGAGGCCCTCCAACACCTCGAAGAGAATAACGAAGTAGAACATTGCCGGTGATCTAAAGATATGGAGATAGACCTCAAACACGAAAGTTTGCTCATCTGATTTTAATGTTTGTACCTAAATATTTGATCTAATAATGGGGCAAATATTATTACCAAGTACAGCTCAGCTCTGGCTAGCGATTCTCCAAGGCATACCCTCCTGCCCAACCCGAACGGAACTACTATTGAAGATAATGATGGATCGTTTATGAATCTGGATGGGTCGAACTAAATATGCATTAAACCAGAAATTCTAGCAAATACTATGCTGACAACTCACCACATCGGGATTCGGGAACCTTTTCTCATCACTGAGAATGAGAGACAATTCCGCTGACACTGCTGTGTTTTTTGGCACAGGAAATCCACCTATTTCTGTGTCCGAGTCAGCTTTTCGGAAGAGGTTTACGTTTATTACCGATGCCAAACGTAAAATTTCCTTAACTAATTTCATTAGTAGACTTAGTCCAAAATATGGTTAAACACGTGGATTAAAGAATTAAATAAGCAAAATTGGCTTTTACCGTGAGAGTGGCCACAAAATACGGGGTTTCGGCCTTATCTTCTAGTGAAAGAGGACGCGAACCACCGGTAACTTTCAAGAGTTCTTCTCTAGCAGTGATTGTAACCTATTAAAAAGTAGATAGAAATCAAAGCAAACATCGGACAGGGTGAACTGTTTCAATATTTATCTCAAGATAAAATCCTGCTAGCAAGTTACAAAAAAAATTTCTAAGAGTTATCAGCCAAGGTTTAGCATATTGCGTCAGCCTTATCACACAGGTGATGGACCAAGTTTTCAATTAATGCTGCTGAACGCAATGAATTTGCCTTTCACTCGACTTGTTCAGCCATAAGAAACACAGGCCCATAATAAATTTCCCTTAAGATGAGATGATGTGATCTGACGGGACCCGTTTAACTCCACGAAGTTCACATGATGCATTCCTCCACCATAGTATAAGGACTAAGTCCGCCAAAGGATCAGGATCATGCGAGGTTCTGCGCTGAGATGAATGGAGCCCATAAAAAGAGAGTTTCCCTAACGTTCCATAGAAGAGAAATAACGTTTGTTTCATGAGAGTCCGTCAGAACCACTTGTAAGTTGTTC